CACGCCCCCACCCCCGAAACACACACCTTCTCGACTGCTCTTGGGTGGGGGCCATCATACCTCTGGCAGGAATATGGTGACTGCAAAGATGAAAAAGTCACTGGAGTCCATCAGCTCTAGACCCCAACTCATGAAAAGTGGAAAGTACGTGTGGGGGTACAGCCAACTCTGAAGATGACAGACAAGGCAAAGAGAAACTGGTCATCTGCTCCAACTGCCCAACCTTGGGGAAGTCCCAAATAGAGTGCTACTCCTTGTTAGCCAAAACTGATGTTCACCACTACCCTGGAAATAATATTGACCTGGGCACAGCTGCTAGAAACACTAGACTATGCACACTGGCTGGTACCAGGTGATGTGTGACCTTTAGCAGTCTGCCAGAACAGACGGGTAAAAAGCAAATCGTGCCATATGTGTCTTTAGTAAAACTGGCCAAAACTTATTGAAGGAAGACGTGAGGAAGAAAGGAAGGAAAGGAAGAAAGGAGGGGAAGGAGGGAATAAGTCACTGCTCTGGAGCAATAATTTGAGAAAGGAAGTTGTATGCTAGCCCCAAGGCCGAAGACAACCGGGTAAATTTGGCCAAGCTGAGGAGCAGCAACTTTGGAAGTCTGAATTCTGACTACGCATCCACCTTGTGATCCATGAGGGCAAGCCTTGCACTGCGGCCTACGACTCAGTCTTCCCTCTCTTTCTGGAGGGCTCTCTCCATTCACACTAGGTTCCTTCCCAGTCATCCTTCAGGACTACACACCCCGTTACAAAAGCCTACTTTCCCTGCCATAGTATGTTCCTGAGAGGAAGACAGACGGTTCCTTCCAGTCCCTGAATTATTTTCAGGTCCTCTTTGCTCTTTCCCACAGTACAAAACCCTCACACAATTGCTTAGATGACAAAAATCTTGTATTTCTGACTGTTTGCACCCTAGTCCGTGTTGCCTGGTTATTATTTATTCTGAACTCTAAACTGCCAGGGTTCCACTGCTGTTTTATATTCTTTTATGTAGGAGATGTTTGGAGCAAGAGTTTAATGACCAGACTACAAAATCATTTAAAAATTTGCAGCACTGTTTGCTAAGACTGGGAGTGCTGGCTCTGTCAAAAGCCTAACCTATATCTTCAACTAATTCTGGGCATTTCTATTTTTCATATCGTTCTCAAATGCAATGCCTAACTTTTTTTTAAATCTCTGCAAATCTGATTTCTAATTCCGTTCCTCCCAGGGTTGGAATTCCTGCGTATGGGTTGGGATTTTCTATTCACTAAGAAAGGGAGAAATTCCTG